TTACCCGAGCTGCTGATATAAGAGTTCATCCTCTTGGGAGCGTGATTGCTGACATAAGGGAGCTCTTGCAAAGAAACTGGCGCTGCAACATACTCCCCGAGAGGGCAATTTTGCAGCGTGGCCAAAGAAGCTTATTTTTAGCATGAGTCAAAAGCGGCTGGCAGAGATTAGGCAGAGCAAGGATCAAACTCTTCTTTTGAGTCGCAGGACCCAACAAACGAAGCGAAGCGCAGTGAAGTCAAAAAAAAGAAGGAATTCAAATAGACTCTAATATCATATAGAAGCTCTACTACCTACTACCCCCTCTGGGAAGATAGACCTCTTCCCGTGCCATATGCGCTTAGAAGGGAATGGGGATTCGGGATCTGAAAGAGCTGAGCTTTATTATATTTATTCTAGTAAGGGGAAGAGGCCGCGTCGGAGATGCTCGACTAAAAGGAGAGGGGACGATGGGTATTTAAAGGCCCATGGATTAGTTCTAAATTATGTATTGTTTGTGTGATTTTTTGAATCAATGAGTGATTCGTGAAGGGTTGGTCCGAAGGTCTAGCTGCGCCGAAAGGATACCTAGTGTAGATAGGCCCCTAAGCCAAGGCGAAGGGCATTTAATGGGTGAGTCGCGTAGCTTAGAGTGGTCAAAAGTACTCATTTTTCGCGATTTCGAATGAGATTTCTTAGTGAAAACCAGAAAGTGTCGTTTTTGCAGTTATACGAGACTCACTAAATGTAATTTCAATACTCCTCACCTGGTGGAGAAATGATAGATCGAGCTCGCGGATGGACTGAAGAATGAATTTCTTCTATATCATTTATGATTTCGATAAGTCCTTCTATCTATCTATTTACGCTTGTTCGTTCTTGGTCCCGGGAATGTTAGCGCTAGCAAGCTGCTCCAATTAGATCATTGTTCAACTCGGCGGAATCCTAATCCCTACGCGTTGTGTTTTATGCATGCTGTACCTACAGAAATTAGGGCTTTGGGATGGAGGTGAGTATGGCAGGAGAGTAGGTTCTATCTAAATGCCAGCGAGCTAGTGCTTATTGAATAGAAAGCTGAAATGAATACCTTTTGGCTCAGCCCATTAACACCTTTGAACAACTCAATGAAATTATTAAGTCTTATTCAATAGTCTCCTTCACCGCAAGGAGCAAAGTAGCTATGCAGCGAAGATAAGACCGAGTAGTAAAGCTGGTTATATCGTAACGTAATAAACAAAGAGAACCTCGGACTTTGTCTTATCATTTTGTTGCAGATTCATAATTCTTAATGTCCGTAGACATTCAGTGTATGGCTTTCTCGTGTATATGTAGGTAAGCCAATCATTCATTTGGGATCCATTCCAATCTTATCTTTGGTCAGTTTGGCTTAAGACTTATTCGTTTCTATGCTGCCTTACGGCTGATTCGCATCTGAGCCTTAACCTTAACGGCGATTCCTTCTGTAGTCCTGTCCTCTTCGCTGCTAACGTATAAAAGCTCCTTCGCTATCTTTTTGACTCAAAGCCTAATCCTCAATGACCGAGGCAAGCCTTTCTAACAAGGAGTCAGGCTCAGATGGTTTCACTTTTACCGAACGGAGGTAATGTGGTTGAAGGCTTCGGAGATGTTTTTTGGAACAAAGAACCGATTTATCTGTGGTTTCACGATCCCTGATGCTTGAAATCCAATTATATATTGTTCATTTTATTAGAAGCATAACGATTTTTTCTTCTATTCGTAAGATTTAGGCATGATTGGATTCTTTGTTTCCGATCTTAGTCCCTACCTTCCTCTCCTTCACAGTCGAGATCTTTAAACCTTTGCTTTATGCTCCGTCTTCCAACTCTTTTTTATTCCGACGGCTTGAAAACTCGAGAAGAGAACCCGTGGAACCTTAGAGCCTATTCGCTTGCCTGGCACGACAAACTACAACTGCAACAAGACACGAAGGACCTATGGGTCAAATGTCGTGGTAGGAGCAGAGTCGTCGGTCAAAGCAATGTTGCATCACTTCAAACAGATAGTACACTGGCCACCTGAACAGACTTGAGGTCGTACGAGAAGACAACATTGCTGCCAATCAAGAGGTCGAGTTTAGTTGATGGTGCCTCCCGTGGGTATCTGGCGAAGAAGGGCCATCGACCAGCCTCGTAGTTTCCTATGGCAAACCGTTTGCCACCTCCCTCAAGAGACATGCTTAGACGGCCGTCCCCTCCCGATATAGGTATAGTAGCTTCCCTTTTTAAGAGAAGAGCTAAAAAGAAAGAAGAAGATTTGTCATCTCGGAGCGAAGAATCCTATTATACGTAATTATTCACTAACTCCTGGTAGTGGCACAGGAAAATCCCCGGGATAGAGAATGTTAGAAGAGTCTATTCACGTTCTACATGTCATAAAGAGCCACTCTCCAGCCGCTTTCTTTTCCCCTCGTAAGTCCCATAGAAGTTAAAGAGTCTTTCTATCTCCCAAAGTTTACCTTCTGCGAGAAAAGAGCCTGGCGCACCTTCGGCCTTCTATCTCAATTACATCGATCCTTGTGGGAACTAGGTTCATAAGGCGCGAGGGAAGGTCAAAACTATCGAGCCATGTTCCCGACTTCCCTAAAATCTCATTCCTTTTCACATTTCATTGACCTAGAGAGTGAATCTCAACCTCGTTGACTTATATACTATATTATTCCTCCTCTATTAGTAGTCGAGGTAGCTTGCTATTCTTCTATCTCTCATTCTCTCCTGTCTTTGAAGACGGGACCTTAGATAGACTTTCTGTCCAGCACTAAAAACTAGCCTACGTTGATCAGTTTTGCCTTCGCGCTATAATTTCTAGCCCTTATATACGGTATTTTGCCTTTTTCTTTCACTTTCATTTCCAAATCCGGCTCGCTCTCGGCTACGTTCTTTCAGAACCTTCGCCCGCTTAGATATGTCTAGGTTCAAGGGGGCTGTCTTCCCTGCTGGCTATGAATGGCGCGGTGACTATCCGGAAGATTTTGAAAAGCTGCCAAGCAATAAAAGAAAGCGAGCATCACAAATATGATGACATGAACGCTGAGTTGGAACAGCATGCCATGCATTCTTGGAAAAGAATGACTACTTTGACAGGACTTTCGCAAGGGTCCTTCATATCTCCTATGTGCCAACGAAAGGAAAAGTCTGACTCCTTTCTACCGAAACAGCCAACGCTTACACGCAAAGGTCCAGAACTCTGTACTTATGAAGCACGACCACCCTGACGTATGATTTGACCTCACTCAAAAGGACTACAACCGCATCGCTCAAACCTTTTGTTGATGGCTTTGGAACTGCTCCTCGAAGGACATGACTGGCACCAGTTCTTCCTCGACTAACATCTATATGGATATATTGATGGAAAGTCTCTCCTGAAAGCGAATGTTTCTTGGGCCGGCATATAGGGAGTTCAAGGAGTTGATCCTCTTAACGTTATGCTCCACATGATAAGGAAAGTATAGCCCAACGGCAAGTGTTTCAACAGGAGCTAGGCGAATCCACGTTTCCAAGTTAATGAGCTAAGCCCCCTAGAGATGTCTCTGCCCTTTGTAAAATAACACCCTGAAAGTCCTAGTTTTCAGTATCTCAGGCAGCTAGACGAGCCCGCGAATGAGGCCTTTAACGAAGCCTAATTCAGTAAGGGAGAGACCGATCCTGCAGCTCATGAGCTACTACCAGATATTGATGGAGTATACCAAGGGGGAAAGGCAGCTGTGTTTTGGTACTGGTAATCATTGGTTCGATTCCTTACCTGTTTTTTTGATTCCTCTAGTGGCAGCAAGCAAGTCCTTTTGAGGAAAGGGCAGGGGAAAGAGAAGATCCTTTTGTCTGGGCTTTAGCGGGCGGAGCAGATGAGCTAAAATCACTCTTACTTACTTAATTTCCCGGGCACTTAGAGATATCTCCCCCAAGGGAAGTGGCCGCCTGAGTAAAGGAAAGCCTGTCTCCTTTGCCGTACTTGCCCTTGCAGTTTCATCAGCTGGATAAGTAGTTTAATCCACTTGTATTTATTGAAAACGAAGATTTGGTTCGTGTTTAGCAGACCTTTTTTATTCCTCTTCTCGGGACTTCCCATCCCCTAATTCAGTAAGGGCTCTACCAACTCTTCCCCTTCTCCCTCTACCTCCAGGAGAAAATAGCGATGTTCCAACCAGAACTATAAATATCTACTTTTGATCGTTGATTTGGAAGATTGGTAAAGTGCACCGCGTCCCTTCTTCTGACTTCCCTCCCGGCGCTTCTTTCGGAATCCCCTCATGCCACTTCCCATCCCGGGAATTAGTCCTACTAGTTCGAGTAAGGGCTGTACCGAACTCCTGGCTTTGAGATCTGCTCGGCGCAAAATCCCGTAAGCATATAAGCCCCCTTAGAAGTGGCAAGGATGACATCAGCCACAAGGGCCTCCTCGAATGCGTTATTCAAGGGGCTATGCTTAACACTTTAGCGAAAAAAAGAAGACATCTTATCTGGAGCTGGGGGTAAGGAAGAGCAGGGGCATAGCTAAGTGAAGTGTAAGGTCCTGGCTTTCATAGCCAAGAGTAGCCAAAAGTGTATCTCCTACGCCCCTGCCAACACCAACTCCTTATCTTATGCAAGAGCAGCCGACTTTTAGCTCGTAAAGTAAAACTGAGGGGTCCTTTATTTCAGAGCCGAAAGGAAAAGGCGCAAAAAAAGTATCCCCTATTTCGCCAACCCTGTTTGTACAAGGAGGCGGGTCTTCAATCCTGGATGGACTCAGTTCTATAGAGCTCACGTGTGATATGACCTAAATTTCCGAGGAGCCTTATTAGTATTTGATGACGGCTTATAGTGGCCACTAAGATCTAAGGGCTTCCCCCTCGGCTTCTGAAGTGCTTCATTCTTCTTCATATATTCCAATACTAATCCCTCTTGTCTGACCCGAGGTACGAGCCAGATACCTTATTAGCTACGCCTATCCCCGATCTTACACCTTAGCTCCTGTCGAATGATCTGCTTACGGGTTGTACTTTCCTCACATATATCGCATTCCTAACAAGGTTTTCACTCAGAACTCGTACCTATCCCAGATGCCTGTGTTCATCCATTACTTATGCTGCTAGCGATCCTCTGCACTGAAAGCAAGAAAGCGAGGCCCCGTAGGGAGACTAGTTCCCAATCTCAGGAGCAAAGAGGACTCAAACTCCCAGCACCAATAACAGATGGCCGAGTCCTTACTCTACAAGTCAACAGCTTTCCGAACAAGCACTTAGCTGCGCTGAACTGAACTCTGGAAAGCAAGGACTTACAAGTCATCCCTTCCAGGGACTTATGATCTCGCTAAAGAGAAAGGACAGGGGATTTACCAACTCTGCTCTAGAGTCTCAAGTATAGGTATGAAGTATACCACCTCCCTGAAAGTTGTCAAAAACCTCGCTAGGAACGCAAAGGCATGCCCACGTGCGACCCACCCTGAAAGCTTTCCGAGATGTCACTTTATGACGATACTTATTTTCCAGATCAACATTGGTATTGTGTTTGTGCTGCTCAATTCTTCTTTTTCTATCTACAGCTCGCCGGTACAACCGATACCACTGAATAGGATGGATCTTTATAAGAATGGATATACCGCCTCCAATACATCAGCCAATGTATCTCTTGCAGCATACGAGTATAAAGTATGCCTCCGTCTCTTTAAATAGAAAGGATTCTAATCTGGGGTGTACCCCTTCCCTTTCATCCTTGTTTCGCATAACTTTCGACAACATCCGCCATATCGCCTCGGTAGAAATGAGTTTTTTGACCCCTCGAAATGACGACAAAATGACCTCAGCTCCCGACCTTTTGATCAGAAACTAATGAGAAATCTCCACCCGCCCTCAGCATCAGCCTTTTACCTTTAATCTTTGCTTTCCACGGACCCCGCGCCCTTGGGACTTTAGACTCATTTGAGTAAAGGATTTACCGACCCGCTGCTAATGTTGCTCCAGCTGCCTCTGTAGCTACCCGGGATAGGTGGATCCTAGTCAAGCTCTTAGTCATCAGCGGCTCGTTAACCTGGTAGTCATAAGTTGCCGCTCTGATCCTGTCTTCGCTCGACCTGCTTCCACAGCTGGATAACCTTCTGAATCCGTACTTCAATTCCGATTTTCAAGATTGTGCTCGTGTTCAGTGTACCCCCTTTCCCTTGCCAGACAGAGCAGACAGAGGTGGTGGAACATAGGCAACAACACGTACTCGTCATCGGTTCCTTAGTACGACATCCACAGGTTCTGATCCTGCCCGTCAGTCTTTTGTATAAATCGACAAGAAAATCCACTAAGTTGTAGAATTTCTAACCCCTGTTTTGGTCCATGTTCCGTTAACTGAAATCCTATTCATATCCGGAGTGGAAAAGAAAGACAAAAACAAGTCCATTGGTCAGATCTGTCAGAATCTCAGGAATGTTGCCCAGAGTTCTGAGTTCAAAGCTCTAAGCCCAGCTGCCAAGTAAATAGTACTCGTCTGTCTGATCTCGCTCATATAGAAGTGAGTTTGTGGTCCAATCTTTCCGAAGTTCAGGCCCCAAAGGTTCCCCCTTTCAAATGAGAATCTCTTTCATCGTTGAGTTAGTTGAAGGGAGTAACAAGCTCTTAGTCTTCTATCCGATATGCTGTGGGTAAGAAGCCCGAACAAGGGAAGGCAACCTAATCAACCAAGATTAAGTCACGACCTTTGTAACCTCACGGCCACTTTCTTTCCTAGAGCTTGCCCCACCCATTCTTTGGTTTTATGATGATCCAACCTGCTATCTCAATGCATGGGATTTCCTTGGGAAAGATTCACATAATAACATAATAAGTAGTGAGACCTTAATGGCCTAGTACGACCAGACAGAAGCATAATCCTAGTCTTCCTCCATGGATTGGTCATTCATGAGCCTTCCTTTCTTTACGAGATAAGGCCAAAAGAAAGAGCTTGGGAATGCTATATTATTAACTATAGGCTCTTTATGAGGACATATAAAGCAGGCTTTGGGACTAGCCTATCAACAAGGGCTAATTCTACGAGGAGTTTCACCCAAAAGAGATGCTTCTTTCGATCCTTTCCCAATAAGGTTGGCGTCTTGCTTCGCTCCTGAGAAGAATGTCTCAATGTCCCAATGTCCTGGGGTGACCATCTTATCTTAGAAAAGGTTAGCAATCCCAATGCTTTTCCTATATAGGGTTCGGGTCTACCTTCGATGAACCTTTCCTTGATGGGAAGGAGAACCCGCTACTACAGAAGCATTATCTAGAGTAAAGGGGCTATCGGGAAAGCAATTCCTAAGCTTTACGATAGGTGGAAGATTTCCCTGACTGAGGAATTGCTGCTGCCGAATCAAGGCAAGGAAGAAAGATCGGACTCGGCAAAGCCGGAATTCAATCCAATTCGAAATAGCTACAATAAAGTCAATAGGTGAATTCGCTCTTGCCCTTTCTATATTAATTAAATAAAGATGCTTGAAGGCTTAGCTTCGGATTGGGCTTACTTCTCTAGGTAATCAGTCTACTCCAGGTGAGCCTGGCTATCCAAAGTATTCTATTTAAAGGACGAAGGGGAGGAACATGCGAGCAACTTTCCCAGTAGGATTTATCCGATCTCTGAAATCGTTTTCGAAATTTCCTAAGTAATAGGATTATTTCTGAAAGTTCTGATTGAGCTTGCCTTGCTTGAAAGTCATAGGTGAGGCAAAGGCTCGACAGACGTGAGGTGCTATGATAATTGCCATCAGTCGATTTCAGAAAGGCGCTATGACCCTTCCAAACCTTGCTTTAGATCGATTTCCAAGGGGAAGAATACTTGGTAGGACAGGAAGGCATTGCAAGGGAAGAAGGCAAAGAAAGTATGGCCCTTGAACCCAAAGAAGAAGAAGCTAAAACTTATCCTACGCAGCTACCTCTTTCAGGCGAGCTTCCTCCTCCTCCAGAACGACCCCAGTCGTCATATGGTCAGATTCCCTCTTCTCGCATTCGCTAAAGCAATTAAAGCTCCAGTCGATTCTGATGATTATCCCGTTGATTCTGTAGATGAGGCAGCAAAGATTACTATTACTTTATGCTTGTTATGCTTAGCCGGGAAAAAGATCTTTGTTTCAGCAGAACTGATTGAAGCTAGTGGTAAAGGAGCTCCAACCTTCACTTCTTCCTCCTGTAGACTCTTCCGCGAAAGGACTAGTCAATAGAAGCTCTGGTCTACGTTCTTGGAATTGTTAATTCACTTCCCGCTGACAAAGCCAATGCAGCTAGTGGTGGAATGGCTATTTTTCCAGACATAAATGATCCTTTGGTTAATGATGAATAGCTTGCCAAGGAGGAAAACAGGCATACAAACAAGCCCTCATAAATAAGTTTTGCCGAGCACAACAGTCAGAAATGAGAAAGATTTGCCTTAAAGGCGAGAGATCTAATACCTGTCACATCAAGAGCCCAGTATTGTTGAACATACCAGTCAAAGGCAGCACGGGGTTTAAATCCTTTGGGTAGGGTTTGCATGCTCATTACTCTGGGAAAATGGGGTACTTCCCCCGTCATCCATAGGTCTCATCATCTATAAGCTATTCTATTTCTTTGGGTTGACTAGCCACATTGGTTTGGTGAAGCTACCAGACAGAGATTTACCTGAAATTGTTGATTTCTTGGATGGAAGCTAGTAGGATCCTTATCCTTTTTTTCTTAGTCGATATCTGAGACTACGGTGACCTAAGCTAAGGTTCTTGAACGAAGGGGAAGGGATCTTAGATGGGACCTTTTCTATTAGTATTCTTTTTTGTTAAGTGCAGTGCCGGGGAGGGGCTGCTTTCAAATACGCATGTGAGAATTGAATTACCACCCTCACTGACTGCCCTTGTGCCTAGATCCTCTTGCTAACTTCAACAAAAACTGGTTCCGCGGCGGAAGCTTTATCATTTACGGCAGCCTATAAGTTAGGAGAGGTGATTCTTAGGAGATGGACGATAGAAGACACGGTCGTCAGGAGATATAAGACGAGTAAGTGCCAGCTTCCTCCTCTTTGAAAGAGACTAACTCTTTTCCTATTTTACTTCCTTCCCTGGATAGAAAGCATATTCTTAGTTAATCTATATCCGTAGTAATAAAGGGGATAAATAATTAGAACTCATCCGTCATTGGCACTATTTATCATTCACTCCTGCTTCACTGGCTAGAGCTCCCAATAGATGTCTTGCCTCTGCTAGCTTTCTTGGCTCATACGCTCGTTGGCTTGCCTAGATTGCTCTTATACGTATAAAAATAAGGTATCCTCTCACTCGACCACGCTTTAATTCGATACAAGGCGCAAAACTACCATACCCGAAAAGCAGGACAGAGGAGTTAGCAGCCCTAGCCCTAGGAGGTAAACTAGTTCATTCATAACCTACTTAATTAAGGGTGACATGAGATTAAAGACCCCATTAAATAATGTAAAGGCAGGTGATGCCAATTTCCTTGATCCTTCATCAGGCTGGACTGTCGATAGAGTAAGCTGGATGTGCTATTCGATCTTGTAACCCACGAAAGCTCGAGAAAGAGAATGTCCTCTCAAGGAAAAGAAAGCGCCAGCGGCACGTGCTTCGAAAGCTGGGCTTTATGCTATCATTTTAAAGCTTCTTAGATGATATTCTCAAAGTTTTTCGGATGTGCTTGCTACCGGCTTTTGCCCATTTTTAAAATAAGTAGGCTCCTAGCCTTTATCTTATTCTTCGTTCGTCTAAATAGATAATCGATGTCCTTCGCTTCATCTCCGGAACGGCTACTTAAGAGAAGACATTCCCCGCAGAACCAAAAGAAAGACTGGTTAGAAGCATTTTAAGTCACCTAGCTAAGCTTCTTCCTTGCCTAGCTCCTATGGACTGGTTCATGGCGTCATCTGCAGTGAGTGCAGTGAAGGACTCTCGCCTCACCTTTGACTTATGGCATCATCGACTTGCTTTTCATCCTAATCTCATCCACTGAAAGGGGGGGCCGGTGCTGCTTTTGCCCTTGCGCGGTAGTAGGCTAGAGAGGCGGTTCTCGTTAGATAGGTAGCTGGATCGTAAGAAAGAGGCTTTTGGCTTCACCAGGCGCGGAAGCTGAATTAAGAAGATAGGTTGCCGCTGAAGGCCATTATCTCAAGCTTAAAAGCAAATCGTAGCTCCCTCTTGTTAACTGGACTTTTAGAGGAAGAATTGAACAAAAAGAGAAGGAAAGACTTCGAAGTTGAACCGATAAAAGCAGACGCCGCAAAGGGTGTGAGTGCGAGCCTATGTGAATGAGTGAAGAAGGGATGCCCCGGTCAGTAGTGAGAGCGATTAGCAATGCCCAATCTCTTATAGAGCGGAAAATGGGTAAGTTCACTGCTTCGAGAAAATGCTTTCATTACCGCACTGGGAATGGGGACAGGGACTCGCACTAGCCCTACGGGTACAATGACTTACTTGATTATGGGATGAAAGTAGACAAATAGCTTACAGCAAGTGAACCACTCTAAAGGCCCTTTCTCAGTAGTGAGCAGGTGAAGGTGAAGGCAAGGCCGGTAAACAAGACCTTAAAAGAAGAGAGCTGGTGAACTGCAAGCAAGGGTTGTGCTGCCAAGGATCTTGGAGGTGTAGACCCTACGTCTGAAGCAAGTGGAAATCTTTCTTTCTTTCGAACCATCGGTACTCGTCTACCATTGCATAGGCCGACATTGACTACCCCATTCAACAATTTCTTTCTCAATGCTGATCACAGCCGTCTTTCGTAGCCAAGGGGCGAAGTGAGGGCACGAAGGGCAGAAGAATCAGTCTAAGGCTATGCTAACGGTTCTGGAAAGGTAGTTCAGTCACCCCCGGATCCACTAATCATCGCTCTAACGGAATCGGTTTCCATCGATATTACTGTTTATGGAACACACCTGCGCTAGATGAATACCACTGAACTGAAACCCCTGCATCTTAGTCCCCATTCATTCAGAGAATCCTGATTCATGCTTCTTCCTTGTTGGTTTGCTTGACTGATTGGAACCGATGCTATGAAACCTCACACTTTGCTTTCGACAAGACTTCCTATTCCACACACCTATGGGAACATCAATAACGCTTTCCGCGCTTCGTTTGATTGCACATCTATTGACAAGACCACCGTCTAATATATCTTTCTCTTTCGCTCTTTCTTTACGGATTGGCTTTTGCCCTTGAGTGAATGGAAGATACTGGTAAGATAAGAAGGTATTCTAACACCACAGGAAAATCTATACGGTTGCTAAACGCCTTTAGCCCTCGTTCTTTCAAGACTTCTTCTGACAGGACTACGATACGGTATTGATCGACCAGCGGCTAAAGAATAGAATACGAGTTCTACCCCCAGCTTTGTAACTCTCTCTTGGTTCGACTCCAGCTGCTCATGAGGGATCAGATTCAATATTAGAAAAGCAGGTATTCGTATTTCCCCGACTGTAGATTACCCAATAATGGGTATTCCCGATTCCAATTAGCTATTCCAAAACAAATGGATATTTGTCAAGGGGCCCCAGAACTGTTATAAAGTTCCGAACTATCCTGAACAATTAGGAAGTTTCGAAGGGCCCAGCTGATGCTGATAGTTATTCCACAACAATTATCAAGTTCAGAACAAATAGGTATTTCCCAAACTCTAGATTACAAACCAAGGGGGAACTCCCCAACTACGCCCCTTAGCCTAATATACCGAAAACTAATAAGTATTTCCAAGACAATGGGACAAATTCCCAAGGGCCTAGCTACTAGCCTTTCTCCGACCGCCGAAACAGTAAAGTATTTGCCAAACAATTGGACATGCCCGAACCGTTGGTAAACTCCCAAGGTCCCACAACAACTTAATTCCTGAACTAATGGATCTTTGACCGGGGCAGCAGCTCCTGGTACTTACCTTTTTACAAGATAAGATGCTAGATCTAGACCAGCTGCTTGAGATCCAACAACTATAACTATTAGCTAAACAAAAGGAACTTTCATTCCTAAATCCCCCCGACTCCGGATTGGATTACCTGCACCATAGGAGTTCAAGAACTAGAAACTACCCTGGGCTGCTAGCTGTTATGCATTCCAGATTCAGAACTTTTGGAACTTCCCCGGGTTTTGATCCCGATATGCGCTGGTTCGAATCCAGCTGCCCTATACTATAAATAAAATCCCGAGCCAAATGTGGAGTCCGTTTCCTCAAATTCTATTCTATATATTCCAATAGAATTGGTATTTGCCAAGGGGTTTCTACTATCCTCCCCTGCCAGCTCCTAGCTAATAGGCATTCCAGATTTCAAATCAAGGGGTAATTCCTAAACAATGAGGCATGCCCGACCTGTTGGTAAATTGCCAAGCCCAAGGGCCCCTCGACCAAAACAATGGGAAATTCCCAGGACTTTCACAAGATCAGATCCAATAGTTAATAGTTGTGTTTCCCGGTAAAGATAGTCAGTTTAGTCCTTTCGTTATAGTCTTGTGGAAGTTGACTCAACTCTTGTGGGAGGATAAGCTCTTTATCAGTTCCTGGACCGAAATCTGCCTTATTAAAAAAATAATGTACTCTGACTTATAGTGTAGTATGGGCTGACAACATCTCCAAGATCTCCAACTTCCCCAACCATATACCCTATATTCCTTTCCCCTTGCTGCATACAACGAAGTACCCTTTTCCTTTGCTTTGAGACTCTGACTTTGGCAGAAGCTGAAGCATCAGCTGAAACCTTAGGACCAAGATATTGAAGATGTGTGTGATGTGCGCCAAAGCACTAATTTAAGCCTTTACAACCCGTACCCCGTATGTATTATAGGACTCGGGACCGGCACATTCATTGCCAGATATTTACGATCCTAGAAAGCCAGAAGGGATAGAAAGTGCCATCTAAGGCCTGTTCAAAAGAAAGGATGAATCATACGTGAGGGTGCCTTAACTCAATATTTCGCCATACCACTTCGGGGCCTTCATTTGTGGATTCGAGAAATAGATCTTAAACTTTATCCTGTTTACTGAACTTCCCTGGCTCCGGACTTCTGGACTACTCGGAAAGCCTCAACTAAAGGAAAGTCATTCTTATGCCCTGCCCAAGACCAAACTGAAGGACTTGACCTTCCTCTTTACTTCAGGACCGGCAAAACGAGAAGGGAGAAAAACTTACATCTATAAATAAGCCACCTAAAAAGGGCTTGAGGATGGCACAAGGTAGGATTTGCGTCCGTTTTGGCTATAGCAATTTAGGGCTAAGTCCAACCAGCTACACCAACTACGATCGCTTGCTTACACCATTCACTGAAAGCGAGGTTTACACCGAAGGATAGTCTTTCCGTGTACTTGTACGTATTAGACGAGTTGAACTCCTTAGCCTAGCTATTTGGCGAAGGGCTAACGCCCGGAACACGCGGAACAACGAACGCACTAACTCAAAACCTCGACCTGAGGCTCTCAGCTACGAACTCCTTTGCACCTTCAACTGCGGAACTGCGAACCGAACTGCTTTTTCTTTTTAGTGTGCCCAGCGGTCGGTCAAAAGATCGGATCGAGGGAAGAAGCCTCGGCCTTGAACTCCCAACTCCTTTCCTTTTTGTGGCCTTTAGTGTCCCCTGCCAACTGGAACTCCTTTTCTTTAACTCATAAACAAGGGCCAGGAACTCGAAGAGGAATGACTAAGCTGATCCGTTTAGCTGCACATTAATGCTGATTCTCCTTACCAATGTCCATTACCATGATTCCCATAGTTATGTCTTACAATCCTTAAGTTTAGTCCTACTGCTAACATTCCCTTAATAAACTGGATATGATCTCTAGAAACAATAACATGCCCTGGCAAGGAAGAAGAGTAGCTCCCCAAAGAGTACCTTCCATTACGAGCCCTATAACTCATGTATTCTTCTACCGTAGGTGTCGCCAATTCCTTCTCTTATCGTTGTCCTAGAGGATGCTTCTACCTTTCCCTTGCTCCTGTCAGAAGAGGAAGTCACTGTCCTATCAAGCGTATTCACTCCCTGTCAGTCAATCAATACGTTCTCATATCGATGTCCTGGAAGTCGGGAAAGAGCGGGCCGGGTATTGCCTGGACTGACTCATCGACAAGACTCTTCACGTGTTTACGACATTTACTGATCAACAATAAATAACAGGAGCGAGGTTGGGCAATTTCAGGATCATTCACCCACCAGCGCTTCGTAACTACTCTTTTACATATATGCGAGGAAGACTGCCTTCTAGAATAGCTACCAAAAGAGGTGGAATTGAAACTCCAATTTAAACTCCATTATTTGTTACTGGAAAACCCATCTTTCATCTTCCAACGATAGATCCGGGGTCGGGAAAACCCGTTTATCAAATCAATGCGCATCGATCCCAGCAGGCGGATTGGATAGGCAGGTTGTATAGGGGGCGCGCGCTATTAATTAAGGAGTCCTTCGATCGAAGAGCTAAGACAGAACTCAGAAGAGAAGCTCGGATACAAACAAGGCAGGAATGGGCTCTGAAGTTTCCCTGGGTCGTCAACTGGCAAGGCAAGGGAAAAGAAGAGATAGCGTGGGGTCGGAAGATGGAAAGCGAGTAGAAGTGGAAGAGCAGGCAAGTGGTTAGCAGTGCCGGGTTCCTTGACTTTACTGGCTTGGCTTGTTCACCCATTTAGTTATAGTTTAGGTCAAGACAGAAAGAGAGATCGAAGACTAAATCTCGGAGCCGCTGCTAAGACCAAAACTCCCTTGCTTTCTTCCGAACCGAGGGAAATTACCAGCACTTCCCCAATCCGGATACCCTTTCCCTCTTTACTTGCCGGCATCCAAAGGGTGAATTCCCAGCACCTGAATCCAGGAAATCCCCGAGCTCCTGATCTATTGACTTGCAGATACCGGTAAATTCCCTAGAGCTGACGAAACATCTGAGCCCTTCCTTTTCAGACCCAAATAAGCTGGGATTTATCCCCCAATACCGTACACTGCAGTAAAGCGCTAATTCCCTCACTTCGCTTCGGTCAGTTAGCTTCGTAGCCGGTGTAGCTACTGAACTCCTACTGTTCAAAGAAAAGCTCGGTCTCTTCGGTCGCTAGCAATCGCGGGTTAAGGTCTTTGCTCTCCTTTCTTTGCCTCTTCGAGTAGGGGTTTAGCCCTATCAAGTTCAAGGGTTCTACCGAAGGTGTAGCATGCCGAAGTACCACTACTATGAAGACGTTACACTCGGGTTATAGCGATAGAGAGCTGACGCATTACTGCCTTCGCTTTCCTTGGAAATTCGAAGAGGATTATGAAAAGTCAAAGCTATCCCAAAGTCCCATTCGCCATGTAAGGGTCTGAAATCCTTGTCTTGACTTTCGCTCCGAAGGTGACTTTACTTCGCTCTGCTTCGCTTCGTTCTTTGAGTCTCACAAGCCCTCCAGGGACTTCACTGCGCTTCGCTTCGTTCGTTGGGTCGAGATCTTTAAACCTTGTCTTGATCCGAAATGGAATTTCTCTACACGAATACGAAAGACGGAGAAGGAGAGGCACGAAGTAGCTCGACCATACAAAACAAACTTTTCGAAGCAGCAAGAAAACGGATGCGCGTTAGCGCAACGGCTTTCGCGCTAGTTGCTCAATCCGTTGCTTGTTCAGTCATAGAGTTTGGGAGAGGGAAGGTGTAATTGACCTCGACTCTAAAGAAAGTGTCTTAGGACAGAGTTTAGCCTGGAATGTCGTCGTCCTTGCAAAACTTTCTAAACTCTTCCCATATTTCCTTGGCTTGGTTAAAGGGCTCAAATCAATTGGGTTGGTCAAGGAATTAGCCCTCCCCCTGATCAAATATGCGAAAAAGACTTTTTTATCCGGATAACGAGTAACGGATTGTTGTTTGTTTATTGAAACCTATTTTGTTTGGATTTGGAATGGACGCCTGCGGAGGCGAAAAGGAGAAGCAGCTCCGTGGGCTGGCCGGCCTTCTGTTTCGAAGAATGGAATCTTAGTTAGGAGAACAAGACGGGGGACAAAGCCTTCCAACATAAGTTATGTTAACCTTTTTCGAAATGACCATCAACAGCAAAGCGTGGCTTCTCGCCCCGGGACACGCCGGGTGGTCTACGATCGATCATCCTTATGGAAAGAAATCTGCCTTCACAGCGATCTGTCCTATTGCAGGAGCTTCAGTCTGTCTCTTAGTTTCTTTTATGGATGGTTAGCTCACTCACCGACTGACCTTTTTAGCCGATCTTCCCCAGGTGTCTTCGCGTTATCAGCGTCTAGGCCGGCCGGACAACTCGTGGCTAAGGTCCATTCGTCGCATGTGAGGCGCTTGCGGGTAATTGTATCTACTTTGTGAAAGACAAAACGTTTCACTTTCTTTTATGATCAAGTTAGTGTGTTTTTTCTACACACACTAGTGAAGCGCGCTCACGTAAAACACACGAACTGAACTAGCAATCTTTCTATAACTGACCGTTAAGATAACAGGCATAACCAGAAGTATAGAACCTTCCTTTCTACTAAACAGAATTTGACCCTACAGAAGACAATGGTGAACTTATTCCACTTTTCACTCACTCAATCAATTAAGATAAAGCGAGCTTGAGATTGACACTATAGCTGTAAAGGCCTTCATCTCAACTAGCCGAAAGCCAAATCCGGGACGGGACTTGTCTGACTGACATCTTGATGTTCCTTACCTACCTAACCTAACAGTACTTTTTTATTCAACTTCTGCAATCTTTCTCTTTCCCTTGCCAGTGGTCAGATTGGAATCTCGATCTTCCTCCTTTCTTGCTCGTCAATTACACCTTTCCGAAGGAACTCTTTGACTTCACTGCGCTTCAAAAGTTTGTTGGGTCGATGAAATTGAGACTGTGAAGGAGAGGAGAGACACATCTGGAAACCATTAGGAGAGTGCATGGCCGTATTCTTCTTCTAACCCCTCCCGTATTCAAATACGTTAGTGTGATTCAACATACTCTGCTATCTGTAAATATAGAAGACACTTGCGCGAATGGTGGCTGGATTACATTGACCTGATGGTCTATTTTCCACAGCTTAAGCATTTTGCTTCAGAGATGAGTTCAGAAGGAAGGATCTCTATTGTATGATAATACCTTGCCCTACAAGTACGCTTTTTAATAGACGGGAATGGATGAGCTTTCGAAAAGAGGAATTCTTTCCCCGCTCAGTCAACTGGTTAAGCCGCTGCTCGAGCGTATTGGGTTTGTATTCCCAGCCAGCTGCCGCGAGTAGAATTCGCTACAGTTTCGATAAATAGCGATGGAAGTGGGAATGCAGGTTGGTAAACCTTTTCAACTAGATGCAACTACTAGCATGTAAGTAAATACAATTGTTGCTATTGTAGCTAAAGTTTCTAAAGTAGCTGCTGAAAAGTGAGAGTATAGTTAAGCTGCTCAGATCATGTCATATCTCTTCTTGCTTAACCTCAATTTCATCGACCCAACTTTAGAAGCAAAGCGCAGTGAAGTCATAGAAGCTTGAATAGGCGACTCCAGGTCAATTATATCGAGCCAGCTCAAAGGCGATGACTAGTAGATTCGGGGGTACCTAGAAAGCGAACAAATGTTCCCATGGTCATGATTGTTGACTAAACTGCCCTTTTTCTGATTCCCCTTGCCGACTCTGAACTAACTCATGCTTGAATGTGAACAACTGATAGCACGTAAAGCAGTTTCCCACACTACTCGAACTTCCTCAATTACATCGCCCCTGCTTCAAAGCCTCCTCGCGCAGCTTCTGCCTGCCCAGCAACCTTACTCATAAAGGGGGTCACCCTATAGAGTAAGGGCCGGAGCTTGCTGGGTTGGGGGGAATAGGAAGGGAGAGAAAGCGATCAATACAAGCTAGCATCACTAACCGAAAAAACCCTAATGAAATTGAAATTATCCAAGTGATTCAATCCATTCGAGACTAACCAATGTTGGACACTAACGAATCAAGGGAAGGAGAGGCAAGGAAAGACAGATTCATTAGTGAAAAAGGACAGACAGGCAGACAAATACTACAGGCTGATCCACCGGAGGAAAAGCCTGTTACGAGTTAAAGGAAAGCTTTGCAAATGCAAAGAAGACAAGACTAAAGACCTTTCACCCCAACTTTAGAAGCGAAGCGAAGTGAAGTCATAAAGGAACTTCTAACCGGATAAGCTCGAGCGCAACGCCTTAGCCCTGCCAGCTCTCCTGCCTGTATTGCCGAGAATTCGAATTGATGATTTTGAGAAGTCTTAAAAGTCAAAGAATATCTTAATAGAAGTACAAGAATAGCATGTTGTTCGGACCGGACATTCTCTTTCCTTCCCTTTGTCTCCTTCGCCCCAACACCAACATCGTTGATGAAAGCAAGTCTGGAAGACCAGAAATGAAACTCCAGCTGGGGACCACTAAGGAAGACTGCATTGGATCTTACCTGCTGGCACAGAGGATAGTGAAGTTGGCTCGGCGATCGGGACTTTTCACAAAAGAAGAGTGATGCCAAGTCCTCCGACTTTCTTGAAAAAGTAAGGAAGACGTGGCCTAGCTACGCATAGTGCTATTATACCATGAAAGACTTTTTGCCTAACAGGACGACTGACAGAACTTCAAACTGAAACTGCCTCTCATGTGTTGCTGCTGCCTGCTCTTAGCCCGATCCGGAGGTGCTCCTGCTCTATGCCTTTCTTTCCTGATCCTTCCATACCAAAAAGAGAAGCCAGCACGTGATATGGCCCTATCCGGGATAGCTTATTAACTTTTCAAGGGCCTGTATCTAGGTAGACTGAGATAAGCTTCTCTCAGGAATCCTATCAGAGTAGAAAGACAAAGTGCAGAGTCTAACCGGGATAAATGAGCCTTGTTGTGATTAGGATCTGGGGATACACTCCGAGAACCAAGGATTAAAGCAGGTCAATTACATCGAGCCGAAGGAGACTAGGAACCCAGTCGCCATGGGGTTTTGGTTTGGGCCTCCCTTTTCTTTTTGTACTCTTTCAGTGGGCTAAGATTCCATCCTTCCTAGTAGGGTTTTTTGAGGAAAGGAGAATGAGACCAATTACCAATAAGGGAGTGAAGACTCCTAGTCCCAACACAAGGCACCCACTAGTAGGGGGAGCCCTTAATTGATCCGGGTAGGCGAGCTTCACAGCTAGAGTTCCTAGTTACCAGTTTCGAGTTACTTAGCGGGTATTCCCCAGCACGGCTTATGCCGATCTCTCTCTCTACTACCAGGGAACGGATTAGAATCCCCATCGCTGGAGCTCAATTACACCAAACCGTCGACTTCAAGGAGAGCTGAGTAGGACTCGCATTGCGGCGAAGGTAGTCACCATAATCGGTATTAAACCTTTAACGGTGGATTGCCTCTACCAAGAATGGCCCTAGAATTTCTTCTGCGCATGAAAGCCCATAACCTAATATACTCAATATCAAGATAAGGGAAGTGACGGTCCTTGTGTGTACCTTGCCTTAACTGATGAAAGCACATCGCCTAGAAAGATGACCTCGTGAGTGAAACTGGAAAAAGAAGCTGGCAGGGCTTTCTAACCGCCATAGGCTGTGATCAGGTCAATTATATCGAGCCTTCGCTGCGTATCTGCTGTTAGCACTCTATAGTCGAAGCTGAGGATTACCAAGGTGACTACTGTAAACCGGGCTAAGTAGGTTACGGTGACTAACATTTCGAAAGAAGACGAAGCTGTGATCACTCTACGACTTTCTGTTCAGTGCGCTAGCTTGTCTGATAGGGAAACTTCGCTCTTTAACCTTCTGTTGTTGGCATACGGGTTTAGGCCTTTTGCTTGGCACGTTGAATAAGGATAGGAATTGCTATTTCATCAGCTGCTTTTCCTGATCTTGGTGCTTGAGTTTTTCAGTTACCGCGGAAAGCATTAGATTTTTTGAGAGTTAGATTTTATAATAGTAGCGTAGCTACATGGATGATGCTTTTGGCCTTGTAGTCAAAGAAGAAGATCGGCTCATCGTAAGCAGCGAAAAAACCGATTGGTGACGATCCGTGGGTGATCCGACCTATTTTGAGGTACATTGTCTAACCAGGATGTGTGTTCCGAAGGATCTTCGAATAAGCCAGCCGTAAGGCAGGATGCGAAACGGAGGGGCTGGGCAGTAACGGCGAACAGCTTGACTGGGCATACTGAGTATAGGTAAAGGCTCACCGACTACGGACTCGGACCATTCGCCGCGGAGCTACACCTTATGGTCGATTCCATTACCTATCGATCAAAGGCAGAGGTTCTTTGGAGGCCCCATAGTTTCTAATGCCGAGGCTCCGCAAGACCTAGTAACTATGGCTTCAACGCTAGACCTTCGGACCAAACCAGGGCGTTGATCAAATGCTTCTTTTAATGTTCTCTGATAAAATTCCCTTTAGGCTCTTAGATCGTTCGATATAGCTTGTGTTATCGAAGGGCTTTGCAAGCAAGCCGGGCGGCGAACTAGGCCGAATGATTGGTAGTCGAAGCTGCGAACTAGGAAATGTATTGACGGTCTTGTGGTTCCATAAGGTGATGTCATGAGTTGAGGTAAGCCATGTTACTCTTTCCTGAAGTCAAAGTTATTAATTTGACGAGGACTTCTTTCTTTCAAAGAAGAGGACGAAGTGGGTGTTCAATTGCTGAGTCAATCCCAGGATGGCGACTTCCTGATGCCTTTCCTTCGTAACCTTCGTATAGCTTGTTCGTTGTTGATTGAGAAAGGAAGGGAGTCTCCTTCTAAATACTACTTACCCTCTTCGCCGCTATCCTATACTCAGTATACCCAGTAAAGCACGCTGGTTCGACGCTACGCGGCACCCTATTCTTAGCGTATGGAATTTCTTCTTCGCCTTTATATTCATACCTATTTAGTTTAGGTTGTACTGCCCATTCTACCCTTACGTTCCAGTCTACTCTCACCTTTCTGTTCGTGCCTGTGTACCATCATGCTGAGCAGCATGGTTGTGGATGGTGGACCCTGTCTGNGAATTGAATAAGACTTTCACTTTCCAGATGATCATTAACTGATTGTGAGTCTTGCCAACAATTGGTTCTTAAACTGTTGACTCAAACCGCTTGCCTAAACTAGCATGATTGGGTGAGTCGCTACGCTTAGAATGGTCCGGAGATGAGACGTAAGTCGAAGAGGACGTTTACGCTGAGCAGCGACGAAGTATGGAAAGCCCCTAGAGGACGAAGCATGAAGAGGGAACTGCTGCTGAGTCGTTTAAAACCTTGTTCAATCCTTTCTTGAAGATGTTGTAGGATAAAGAGTCCACTCTCCGAAATAATATAATAAAGTGGAATCATTCTCATCTAAGACTCGTCGTGTCCACGCGAGGTCAACACGATCAGATCTTCCCGTGAGAAGCTAGCTCTAGCTCTCTTTATTGATTTTCTTATCAAACGCTGGTGCTCGTCCTCCCACTTGAATCCTTGGGATTTAGCTCAAATTCAATTTTCTATGTGATCAAGGGGAGCAAAGTGAGACTCGACTAAAAGGAGAGGAAAGGTGTAATTGAGATGGTGGAGCGTCGACTTCCGACTCCGAAGCTGGAAGAACTAAGATAGCATACGTCTCCCTTTCTTTTTCTTATAGTGCGGGGGGAATGAATCTTGGATCAAGTGGGCAACCCCTATAACACCTTAAAGGTCCTTCGGACCCCTTTATTCCAGTTTCACAAGATCCGGAAGAGAACCCGCCAGGGCGACTTCAATCCGCCTTGTCCATCAACAGCAGGACCAGACGTCCGCCCCCCAGGTCACGGCTGTTGGTCAGCAGAAGCTGGAATCTGTCCTGCTGAAACACATAAAGCGGCATTGTCAATTAAAAGAGGTACGTAATAAGTATCCGCAACTGAATTCCACAGAAGTGGACTATCTTTTTTTAGCCAAAAATCTGGCCATTTCCAAATTTGATACAGATACGAAAACCGACAGTGAAATGGGCCGATCTTGCGGCGGAATTATAGAAAGATCAAAATTCTATTAGATCACTTTTTAGCAGAAAAAAATTAAAGAGACTAATCTAATGAATAGGGGACAAACTTTTCGAAGCGAAGTGAAGTCAAAGAGCTCAAAATACGGGCTTGTGAGACTTGGAGAACGAAGCAAAGCGAAGTGAAGGAAAGGAGAGGAAAGATGAAATTGAGGCTTCTTTCTTTCTGTCCGCTAGTCAGGAATGGAATCGGACGCTACGTAGACAAATAGGGCACTAGAACGCTATTCTTCCTCCTTCCCCTTTAGGCTTAGGGTCGATGTAATTGAGGATAGATGTAATTTAGAGGTTTTCAAGAAGGAGCAGCAGTCGGTTCAGCATAAGAAGATGAAGCAGCAGTTAGTTTGAGATCCCTTCTTGCTCTTCTCCATAGTCTTTCATTCCTCTCACCCGACTATGAACATGGAAGTTATGGAGGCATGCTAAATATGATGGGTTGGGACTGGACCTTAGTACGATGAGATGAGTTGGATGTGGAATGTACAACGATGAGTTCTACTATCACTAGGTGTTGCACGAACGAACGAAGTGCTATATCCATGGGTACGGATAGTCAAGATACTGGTACAAATGTGAATTATTACCATTCTGACTTATCCCCCGACTGAGCTATTGATGTCTTTCACCATACCGAATAGCCCTCCGCTCTACTCTACCAGAGACGCGTGGCGGTAGTAGCTCCATAGTAGCCCCTGTGCAAGCATCTTAGGCGTAATATGATACGCATACGTATACATAAGCATATCCGCTCATCGAGGACAGGTGGGGTAAGATGGCTCGAGAGACCTCATTCGTGGTTGGAATCAAGTCTCTACTAACCGAATTCCCGGCTCTTAGTCATCGCTCCGTGAAAGAGTACGTTCGATGTAATTGACGAAGGCACAGCTAGCACACGGGAGGTGATGACATCAACCACACTCCTGGCTAGGCGCACTCTCGTCGATCCACCACAAAGGTTAACGACGTATTCGACCGAGTTTTGAACCAAAGGTGCGTAGCGGCTCTGTAAGAGCAGATTATCCATGTGCAAATCGAGATGCGGTCCGGTTCGAGCATATCGTCTTTCATATCCCTCAATTACATTGATCCTGATTCTTCGATTACATACCTATCAGCAGGCAATGTAAATTGTTTGATAATATTTCTTCCGAGCTTGAAAAGAGCTTGTAGTTTCGGATCCTACAGATCTCGGCGATGGAGTTGATCCCACGGACGCAGAGCGTCAGAGCCGATTCACTAAGTGGATTACCCAATTAAAGAACGGCCCCATCAGTTGAAACTCTTTATCCTCCTTTCTTTATGACTGAACTTCGCTTCGTTCGTTCCCTTTACTTTTCTATGACTGAACTTCGCTTCGTTTGTTGGGTAATTTATGAAGCTTCTTTCAGACTTTCAGCACCCTTACTCACCTTAGTCCATTCCTTCATGAACTCAGGGCGCTGAAACTCGAATTAGAATGATAGGTATAGGTCCCGTTCTTTCCCTCTCCCGTAAGATGGTCAGTCACTAGCAAGCGAAGAGATCAGCGNTTCTCTCTCCTCCTAAGCCAACTAATACCCAGTATGGAGCCATCGTCGCTTTCTACGTTTAGCAGCCGGCTTTTCTCGTTCTCGGCGTTGGATCTATACACAGATAGGTCGTCCTATCCCATCGCTTCTTGAATATAGATCAACGAGGGCCGCCTTCTTGTGGCCTGACGGAGAGTGACGGCAGCGGCGATACTGCTTTCAGTCCTTTCTGTGAACCCCGCCCTGATTGATTCTAACTAGAGGCTGGATGGAATGAAGCTTACTTAAGATCAAAGTCCAATAGGGGAGCTGCTTGTGGACCTAAGAGGGAGCCCTGTAAGGGATATGCCCCGAGAGCGAGCTGCTTTGAATTGTAGGCGATTGAATCTATCATACAACACTATATGTCATCCGTAACCCTAAGAACTATTTCCATTTTTTTTCGACGCGTTTTTCAATGAATTTTGAGGGTCGGAGCCTAGACGAAGCGAGCAGAGCTTTTGGGGCCATAACTACAGGGAAGCCCGTCATAAAGCAGTCGACTAGAAGTATAAGACTNCTGAGAGAAGGCGGCCTCTCTCGGGGCAAAATTTCTCTTCTTTCTTTTTGTGGGTAGGTTCAGTAAGAGCAGAGGAGATCAGATACACGGAAACGAAGACATCTTCGCCTCTTTGATATATTGGACCGGGAATCAAAAAGGGGAAAAAAGTCAAGTCTAAGTACATATGGCACGAAAAGGAAATCCGATTTCGGTAAGACTTGATCTGAATCGTAGTTCAGATTCAAGTTGGTTCAGTGAGGGCGACCGCGAAAGTCACCGAATGGGTCAGTCTTTTCCTTCAGTTTGTCCCAGATTTCAAATCAAAAAAGGCGTGGGAGGACGTTGCGGATGTCCGTGGCGGACACGACTTCTTCTATTCTAAGGCTAGAAGACCACTGAAAGACACCCAGGACTAGAGCATGTCGTGAAAGAAGCACACTGGACGGGCGTGCTTCGACCCTGTCTCCGGGGCACAGTTGAATGTAGATATCATGAACGCGAGGTGCAGGATACCAGGCCGAGAAACCCGGGCAACCACTCCCCTATGTGCCAATCGCTAGCGCATCCAGGGCCCCGGCGCCCAGCTCAGCTGGAGAGGCCTAGCCTGATCTGAGAAGTGCTAATTCGGTTCGGATAGACTGAATGAAAGAATGCCGCCGCCCTTGGAATCAATAAGAAAAGAAGTGCTAAGTTTCAGATCAGTGAATAACCCGAAACGAAAGTCAAGGTTGCCTTTTTAACGCTCGACCATACAAACGAAGCGAAGTTCAGTCATAGAAGAGAGGAGAGATGCAATTGACTCGGCGCCTAAAGCGCACTATGCTCCGCTTCAACAAATGAGAGTTTTCGGTGGAACCGGTGAACCACGCGAGCTGGTTAGATGCGTGGGGCAGAGGGCTCGTAGTACCTGCTAGCGCAGCTATGCAGTAGAAGGGAAGGAGCCTAAATCGACCCAACGAACGAAGCGAAGTTCAGTCATAAGTATTGGCGAAGTGAAGTCATAAAACCATAGTAGGGAGAGGAGAGGAAAGATGCAATTGAGATAGGAGAGGAGACAAGCTTTCTATCTTATTAGTCAAGCGCGCTAGTTGCAATCAAACTAANTATGACGATTAGTTTCTTAGTAAAGGCGCGTTAGCGGCTTTAGTTTTCAATAAAGGACGTTTAGGCTTTGATAATAAAATAGAAAGGGCCTTTCAAATGACAACTGCCTCTTCTTGCTGCGAGGGCCTTGCACGAAACCAAACCGCCCCCCGCCCGATCAAGTACCAGTTGCTTCGCTGGTAGGCCCACTTAGGCTTGATGTAATTAACCTCAGTTCTGACCAACCTCCGGTGTGTAATCGACATCTTGCTAGCTAGAACTCGGTCGAATAAGAATCATTGATTCCCTCTGCTGTCAATTTCTTATTCATTCATGGCGCTCTCAATTACCTCAAATGTCTATGACTGAACTTCGCTTCGCTTCTAAAGTACCTGGCAACGTCTTTGACTGAACTTCGCTTTGCTTCTAAAGTACACGAAAACTCCTTGAAGTCCTACCGGGGCACCCTTTCTCATCTCAAACCAGAACAAGTCTGAACGTTAGGGAAGATAAGGGAAGACCACCTGAGCGAACCGACCGAAGGGACTTGACTTATCCGAACCGAACGATAGCGGCCGTCGCCTATCACGAGAATCAAAATCCTTGATCGACGGGTACGAACGAAGCGAAGCGCAGTGAAGTCATAGAAATTTGGGGCAAAGGATCAAGCGCTTTGACTTTGTCTCCCGGGATCCACCACAGGTTGGGTTTGAGAGCCGTGTGATGGGTCACTATCCAGCACGGTTCGGAGAGCACTTTTAGTCTGCGTTGGTGAATAGAAGCCCCCCCGCAAGAAGGAAGCGGCTCTTCCCCCAAATAGTTGGAGAAAGGGAGTCACCATTGACTCTATTTATTATTATGGGAAATCAGTGTATCAAGATCTCAATCTGAGATCTTATTTCGGTTCGATACGTCCACCTACGAGACTCACCTTTGGCTTTCGCCTCGGTAGGTGTATTATTCTACATTTTCCCAAAAGAACATTGATTCATTTCTTTCTTCCCCGTCGACCACGACGACGACTAAAACGACGCGAAAAATCCAGACCCGCGAAGGGACGGTGGTGGGAATTGGGGAAAGTCGGGCCGATCGGGTGTCTTCATTCAAGCGACGGTACAGAAGAAGAACGAAACGAAGTGAGAGGCCGGGGGTCGGGGAAAAGAGTCGAGTCGATCAGTCTCGACGATCGGAAGAAGCAAAACGAAAGAAGGATTTGGCCGAAAAAGAAGCAAGGCTATGGATACCATGACCGATCACCATCGATAAAGAATCATCTTTCGTCATCACTTC